CCTCCCTCCCTCTCTCTCTCTCTCTCCCTCTCTCTCTCTCTCTCTCTCTCTCTCTCTCTCTCTCTCTCTCTCTCTCTCTCTCTCTCTCTCTCTCTCTCTCTCTCTCTCTCTCTCTCTCTCTCTCTCTCTCTCTCTCCCTCCCTCCCTCCCTCCCTCCCCCCTCCCTACTTATTCCTATAAATAGGGATTAATATCGAGTCATTTTATATCAAGTATCAGAGCCTGGTTACTATAGGGACGTGTAGGTTATGAGCTCTAACAGATATAACTGCTTCCATTTCTTCAGTATCCAGAATTACAGGCTTCTGCCATGCTTGCTTTGTGTCGTTTGATGATCACCGATGCAGAATTTTGGTGAGCCCATTCTCTACCACTTATCCTGAATTTCTGTCCCGACTTTATCTATGTCATATAATGAAATGAAAATGTTCTAAGTTTGTTTTTTCAGTGATGCAAATCTTCAGCTTCTCTTCACAGTTGTGGAAAAAATGCACAGTCGGAAATTGTCCGTTCTAATTGCACTATTGCACTAGGAGACTTAGCAGTAAGGTTTCCCAATCTTTTAGAACCATGGACAGAAAAAATGTATGCCCGCCTACAAGATCCTTGTGTATCTGTAAGGAAAAATGCTGTTCTGGTGCTTTCGCACCTCATACTAAATGACATGATGAAGGTATAGGTCACTATTGTTTTGGTCCCTTTCAATTTTTCTGTGCTTTAGACACTGATGCTTTTTCTGTGCTTTAGACACTGATGCAATCATTTCTCCATCAGGTGAAAGGGCACATTAATGAAATGGCGGTTAGGTTAGAAGATGAAAATGAGAGAATTTCAAATCTCGCAAAGTTGTTTTTTCTTGAACTTTCCAAGAAAGGTTTTTCCTTATAATTTCTTTTTTTGCATAAAATTGTCTCCTATTATTCTCGATATTACATTTTTCAAGGTAAAAAGGTATTTAATATAGTCTCTTGGCATTGCAACAGGAAACAATCCAATATATAATTTGCTTCCTGACATACTTAGCAAATTATCCAAGCAGAACCTGAGCAATGAATCTTTCTGCAACATCATGCAATTTTTAATTGCTTCCATCAAGAAGGTATATGTTATCTCACAATGTTTACATTGCTTCCTATGTTTATTTTGATTGCCACCCTCATTTAGTTTTTTAAGTACTCCAGGACCGACAAATGAAGCGCTGGTGGAAAAGCTATGTAATAGGTTTAGTGGTGTCGCAGGTATCACTTTTTCCCCATATTTTTAAGTACTCTTCATATAAACAGTTCCACTAGTTAATGCCTAAATTTGTCTGAGCTAATGTTTAGCCTAGATGATACATCCTAACAACTGCTCATAATGATCAAGTGTCTTTATTTCTCTGTAGATGTCAGACAGTGGGAGCATATATCTTATTGTCTCTCTCAGCTATCATTTACTGAAAAGGGAATGAAAAAACTCATAGATTTATTTAAGACCTATGAACATGCCTTGTCAGAGGATTCTGTTATGGATAATTTTAGAAACATATTGAACAAGGTAATGATATTTTTTATTGCTTGTGCATACTTTATATGAAAAGGCTGAAGGCTTTTCTTTTTTTGTTTTACTCAAATTTTAATTGAAATCAGGCAAAGAAGTTTGCAAAACTGGAACTTAAAACTTACATTGAGGAGTTTGAGGAGAAGCTGACTAAGTTCCACACGGAAAAGAAAGAACAGGAAGTTACTGCTCGAAATGCTCAAATCCATCAACAGAAGATTGACAGCAGGGAAAACTTTAACATGGATAAAAATTCCGAAGATTACTCAAAAGCTAATAATTCAGGTTAACTTCGCAAACTTTAAGGTTTTCAGGTTTTATACACTCTACTCTCTTCCTAATGAATTTGTAATATAAGTCCAATGCCACTGATAGCAATTCTTGCCCATGAGCAAGGTAGTCAAGCACGGAATCTTAAGTAGGATCGGACGGCCTATAAAAGATCCTAAAACTAGGATCGTAGCACGACACTTAAGATCTTACCAAAGGGTAAAATGGTAATTTCACATGGACAAAAACATGAAAAATTATAATAAATCAACAAAATAACCTATAAATCACAACACTCAACCAATTTAATTAATAGGAAAAGAACTGTAGTAGGAAGGTGGGCACAGAGAGAGAAGAATGAAGATGATGAGGGAGAAGAATGGTTATGATGATGGTGGAAAGTTGCAGAGAGAAGAATCGTTAAAGGAGAAGGAATACTATCGAGTAAGGAGTAAAGATGCAGCCGTTTTGTCTTTTGGTGTTTTAGGGTTAGGTCTGAGAACTTAATTAAAAAGTTGGGTTCACTTAAAAAAACGACCCGGTAAAAAAGTCCAACAAAACAGGCCCAGACGCCCAACACTATATTTTTTACGATCTTACTATGGAAAACTCGATCTTGACCATAAAGATACACAAAAAAGTTTTTTTCAAGATCGTAGCACTAAAAGGTAAATTTGGCACGTAAGATCTTACGATCTTACGATCCAGCACTCGATCTTGACTACCTTGCCTATGAGTGTATTTTTTTGGTCTAAATTCTATACTTTTCAAGTAGCTTTTCTCGTCGGCTCTCCCTTCATTTGAGTTGTGCATGAATATTATGAATTTATGATATTTCCAACTGGAAATAGATATTAAAGCACATGGCAATGGTGTTGCTTTTACAAACTGAAAGAAAATAGTTAGCATTTGACCAGATTACTTAGAATCAACTGGTACTAGGGATGAAGAAATATGGTTAATCTACCCGAAGTGTTATTGGACCCTTAACTTCCTATTAATAGCAAATGACTAGTTCATGTGTATCCCCATTCAGTTAGCCGCGCCACACCCCTTAGCAAACACTTTATTAACTATTAACTTCCTATCAACTTACTATTTATTAGAGGTGACAATTGGATCCATTAAGGCAAAATTCATCCACCACATAAAAAATAACTAAATGGATTGGATTAAATACATCCATGCATGGATAAATTCGATCCATCCAACATATTTTAAGGATCCAATGAATTATTTTTATTTTCGTTAGATTTATTTTTTAAAAATAATTTATTTAAAAGAAAAGAATTGATTTTTTTTCGAAAAAAAATATTTTGGTTTTTTTTTTTTTATAAAAAAACAATTTTTTTCGTAAAAAAATGGTTTTTTTCATTAAAAAACGATTTTTTTTCGAAACAAAAAACTATTTTTTTTATAAAAAAAATCGATATTTTTCAAAAATTAAAATATCAATTTTTTTTCTTGAAAATACAAAAAATTCAATTTTTTTAATGAATATATTAAAAAACAATTTTTTTTAAAATACAAAAAATAAATTTTTTGAAAATAAAATAAAATAGATTTTAAAAATATAAAAAAATATTTATTTAAAAAAAGAAAAGTTGGATGGATGGATTGAATGGATTTTATTCTTAATGGATGGATTGGATTGGATAATTTTAAAAAAAATTTAGTGGATTGTTAATGGACTAATGGATTGTTTTAATCCATCAATTAACAATCCAATCCATATCCATCCAATCCATCCATTTTGCCACCCCTACTATTTATCCTAAGTCAGAACTAAAGAGTTCAAGTCATTCTTGAACACAGTTGATCTGTTTTATACATTCTTTCTGAAGTGTGGTATTCCACTCAAAAGTATTCAACACTGCATAAATGCACTCCTACTTTAAAATGTGTGTAAGTGAAAATTTTTGTGATTGTGATATCAAAAAAGACTTTGACAAGAATTTCTAATGGGACTTATTCTAGATGATAAATCTTTAATGGTGGAATAAAGCCAACCATCAAGAACGTATTGGCAACTTTCTCTTGATTAAAGAATATGATGTTGAGGAATTTTATTTTATCATATAGTTTCTCGTTTTCGATGAGCTTCTAGTGAATTTTATGTTAATAGTGTTTGCTGATAATTGCGTTTTCCGCAGATGAAGCAGATGGTGAAGTAATTGATACATGTAATGAAGAGACAAATACTTTGTCTATAAATGGTAAATCAAAAACTAAACCTGTGCCAGAAGCATCTTCTAGTGCCTTGAGTGAATTGACTGAGCCAAATCAAATGGATATTGAAGTTCAATCACCCATGGTTAAGACAAGAGGTTAGTTAAAACACAGCTTTTGTGAATCTGGCTGATTGTATTTGTTGTAATTAACATGATGCTGGCAAATTATAGGAGGTCAGTGGTCCAGAATTAAAAAAAACAACGTGAAAGAGGAAAGAGGTGATATCTCTATCACCAAGAAAAGAGTTACTCGGTCTAGGAGGTATGCCTCTATGCATGAAAGGTTAAGCGCCTCTGCATCTTCGATTTGCATTATTAGATTCTAACTTTCTGATCTTGCATTGTGCGTGATAAATAAATCCTGACGAGAAAATAATTAAAACAAATAGATTTAAAGATTTTTGAATCTTGATAAAACATGATGGAAAGAAAACTATTTTAGTTTTTTAAAATTATTTTTGTTTGCGTATTTGGTTTTGGAAACAAGCAAATGTTGCTTATATTGTAGTCATTTAATCTAAGTAATATAAATAGTTAGAGAAGCAAATTTCTATCTTTGATTTACACTATTTTGGCAAAAAGGCAATTTTGCTACTAGATATAAAGAAAACTTAAATATGATGCTGGTATACTTAGAAGGCGCTGCTTTCAAAATGCATATATAATTTTGCAATATAAACCCGAAGTTTAAATATGATTTGCTTACAAATGTTCTTGATGAATTAGTTATTTCACTGTTTTCTGACTGAAAAGTGACTCAATTATTTATAATAATGTATTTGTATCCTCGTGCAGGTAAATTTTACGGACACCTTTGGATGAAAAGATAGATTCATCAGTTTGATTTTCAATTTTTATGATTGTGACACATATGATGCTTTGTCAAAAAGCCGTGTTTAACAGTGGAGCACTTCTTCTCGGAAGATGTACATGTGAAATATATAACCATTTATTATAATCCATACATTTTTGGAAATTTTTTAGTGCACTTTAGATGTTTCTAATTTACTATGCAAATTTTAACATATATTTCCTGATTCGGGAGATACATCTTGTTAAGATTAGTTATTCTAATCATTAGATTAGATTAGTTGATCATTATAGTTGATAGTTACTAGTTAGTTAGATTGGTTGTTATGTGATAAGAGTGATCTATATAAAGGTTGTAATGTCACACATCAAGTCATAACAAAGATTTTTCTCTCTTCTTCAAGTATTCTTCTCTTCTTTTCATCTTGTTATTTCTTCTTCAATGAAAGAATAACTCTATCATAATATGGTATCATTCGCCAATTCGATTCTCATTTCGCTGCTATCAAATTGAATTTTTTTTATCAGTTCTACTTCCATGGCTCCTTCTCGAGCTTCATCACTTGATCCAGCTTTGGACCAAACCTAACCTTATTTTGTTCACCCCAGTGATTGCCCCGGTTCTGTTACCGTTCTTCCAAAGCTCACCGGCTCCAACTATTATTCATGGGCTCGAAGCATGAAGAGGGCTCTTGGTGGTAAAATGAAAATTGAGTTCATTGATGGATCTCTCCCTATTCCTGTTTATTCTTTCGATCCATCTCTGCGTGCTTGGAATCGCTGCAACATGCTTGTACACTCTTGGATCATGAACTCAGTTTCATATTCAATTTCTCATTCTATCGTCTTCATGAAGAATGCGCTTGATGTATGGAACGGTTTGAAAGAAAGGTTTTCTTAGGGCGATTTCATTCGTATTTCTAAGCTGCAACAAGAAATCTATAATCTCAAGCAAGAAATCAAATCGGTAACTAATTTTTTCTCTGATCTCAAAATTCTTTGGGAAGAATAAGATTTGTATTTACCTTTACCCACTTGTACATGTCGCATAAAGTGTTCTTGTGAAGCTATGCGCAGTGCAATATCTAATCACCAACTGATGCAAATTATCAGATTCTTGACTGGTTTGAATGATCAATTTGCTGTAGTTAAGTATCAAATCTTGTTAATGGATCCTTTGCCCAATATGAACGTTATTCAACACGAGCGAAAAATTCAGGTCACCATTCCCAATGATGAGTCTCAAACCCTGATTAATGTTGCTGATTCCAAGAAGTTTGGTGCACGAAACAATACATTCAAGCATGGAGCTCGTGTTTGCACTTTTTGTGGCAAGACTAATCATACTGTTGAAAACTGCTTCAAGAAACATGGTGTACCACCTCATATGCAAAAGCAGTTTCAGAATTCAACTAACAATGTGGCATCAGATGGCAATGATGATGGATCTACCTCCAATGGTACTGACACCAAAAGTGACAATTCACCTATGACTCAAGGTCAATTCACTACTCTAATGGAGCTAATCCAGAAATCCAGCATTGGTCAATCTTCAGGACATGCTTCTTCCAACCAGGTTGCTGTTGGTCATTCATCAACAGGTAACACATATCATTACATACATAATAATAATAATGGTTCTTGGATCATTGATTCAGGAGCTTCAGATCACATATGCAGTTATGTCAAATGGTTTCATTCATATAGGAAGATTATTCCCATCAATGTTAGATTGCCAAATGGACAATGCCTTGTTGCTAAAAATTCTGGCACAATTCATTTTTCCTCTGATCTCATTGTGCATAATGTTCTTTTAATTCCTGAATTTTCTTTAAACCTATTATCTGTTTCAAAATTGTGTGCATCCTCTAATTGCAATGTCAATTTCCTCAATTCACAATGTATTATACAGGACAAAATCACCTTGAAGATGATTGGTTCTGCTGAGCAGAAAGATGGATTGTACTACTTAACACTACGAGATAATGATTCACCTACTACACATACACCCACCTTCACCTCTGCTCTAGCAGCCAATGTCACTTTACCAGATAGAGCCTTATGGAATTTTCGATTAGGACACTTATCTCAAAACAGACTTTTGTACTTACATTCTTAATTTCCCTTTATCACAGTAAATCATAAAGATGTTTGTGATGTATGTTGTTATGTTAGACAAAGAAAGCTTTCTTATACTATTAGTAACAATAGAGCTGCTCATCCTTATGACTTGATCCATTTTGACATTTGGGGACCCCTTGCAGTCCAATCCTTACATGGTCATTCATATTTCCTAACTGCTGTTGATGACTACAGCAGATACACATGGATAACTTTAATGAAAGCTAAATCTGAAGTTAGACAGCATGTCATAAATTTTATTAATCTCATAGAAAACCAACATATGCTACATGTCAAAATTATCATAACTGATAATGGTCCTGAATTCAGCATTCCTGAATTTTATGCTTCTAAAGGAATCATCCATCAGACAAGTTGTGTTGAATCTCCACAACAAAATGGTAGAGTGGAGAGGAAACATCAACATTTATTAAATGTTGGAAGAGCTCTCCTTTTTCATTCAAAACTCCCAAAGATATTCTGGTCATATGCTATTTACATGCAACATTCATCATAAATAAACTTCCTACACAAGTTTTAAACAACCTTTCTCCTCATTTCATAATGCACAATACACATCCTGATATGCATAGTCTCGAAGTGTTTGGATCTCTAGCTTTCGCATCCACACTAAATGTGCATAGAACAAAACTTGAGCCAAGAGGTCGAAATGTGTTTTTCTAGGATACAAGAATGGTATGAAAGGTGTGGTGCTCTATGATATTAACAGTCATACAATTCTTGTTTCTAGAAATGTCATACATCATGAGCACATCTTTCCTTATTCAAATGCCAATTCCATTAATTGGGACTATCACCCTTACAAAGATCCTACTGACTCACCACAACATGATCCTACTATACCTGTTCCTTCACAAAGTATTGAATCTGTTATTGAGGAACATGACCACCATCCTAACACAACCATCAACCCTGAACCTATTATACCTGTTTCTTCACAAAGTAGTGAATTTGCTGTTAAGGAACATGACCACCATCCTAACACAACCATCAATCCTGAATTTTTAGAAAATACTGATACAAACCATGACATTCAATTTGTGCCTGACACATCTGATATTGACAATAACAACATGCCACTTAGACCTGTTAGAGCCAAACACACACCTCATTATCTTTCAGATTATGTGTGCAATACATTTGATGCATCAGCAAGCAAGTCATCATCAGGTACAAACAAAACTCTCTATCCTATTTCAAATTATGATTCATTACATTTTTTGTTTGCATCTCATCAATTTTTGCATCCAATTTCACTCTTACACATGAGCCAAAGAACTACAAAGAAGTATGTTTGTCTGAACATTGGATCAAGGCCATGAAGTCTGAATTAGATGCATTAGACAAGAATATAACTTGGAATATAGTTGATTTGCCACCACATGTTAAACCAATTGGTAACAGATGGGTGTTTAAAGTAAAACATATAGCAGATGGTACAATAGAGAGGTGTAAAGCTAGGCTTGTTGCCAAGGGCTACAACCAAATTGAAGGGCTTGATTTCTTTGATACTTTTTCACCTGTAGCAAAGGTTACAACTGTCAAAACTCTTCTTGCAACTGCAACCATCAATAACTGGTTCTTAAATGAACTTGATGTTAACAATGCTTTTTTGCATGGGGAATTGAAGGAAGATGTGTACATGACCATACCTGAAGGTGTTTCATGTGAAAAGCCCAATCAAGTGTGTAAACTTCAAAAGAGTTTATATGGTTTGAAACAAGCCAGTCGCAAATGGTATGAAAAGCTGACATCCCTTTTACTCCAGCAGGGGTATACTCAATCTACTTCTGATTATTCCCTTTTCACTTTGAAAACTGATGCACACTTTACAACTATTTTAGTCTATGTCGATGATATAATCTTAGCTGGAACTTTTATGTCTGAATTTGATCGTATCAAACTCATTTTAGATGAAAGTTTTAGCATCAAAGACTTGGGAATACTTAAATATTTTCTTGGCCTCGAGGTTTCCCATTCAAAAGCTGGGATTTCACTATCACAACAAAAATATTGCCTTGATCTCTTACAAGAATCTGGTATGCTAGGATCCAAACCAGCCCCCACCCCTCTTGATCCATCAGTTAAGTTACATGCTGATAGTGAAAAAGCTTTTGAAGACATTGGAGCTTATAGACGTTTAATTGGTCGTCTGCTGTATCTTAACACCACGCTCCTAGACATTACCTATGCCACTCAGCAACTCAGCTAGTTTCTGCACAATCCAACAATGGCACACTACCACTCTGCTTGTAGAGTCATACACTACTTGAAGAACAACCCTGGCAGAGGAATTCTGTTTCGCAGAAATGCTGAGCTACAAATTCTTGGCTTCTCAGATTCTGATTGGGCAGGGTGCCTTGATTCAAGGAAGTCTATTTCAGGATATTGTTTTTTCCTTGGTACTTCTCTCATATCATGGCGTGCAAAGAAACAAAACACTATTTCTAGATCATCATCCGAAGCTGAGTATCGGGCACTATCATTTGCCACATGTGAATTACTTTGGTTGACAGCTCTTACGAAGGAACTACACATCAAGTGTACCAAGCTTCCTGTCCTTTACTGTGACAGCCAAAGTGCAATGCATATTGCGCTCAATCCAGTATTTCATGAACAAACCAAAGATCTTGAGATCGATTGCCATTTGGTCCGTGAAAAATTACAGCAAGGTTTACTGCGACTCCTACCAATCTCCACTCATGAACAACTTGTTGATTTTCTAACTAAAGCATTATTAACTTCAACTTTCAACAAGTTTATTTCCAAGCTTAGCATGATCAACATTCACCATGCTTAGCTTGAGAGGGGCTGTTAAGATTAGTTATTCTAATAATTAGATTAGAT